GATAGATTGCTTGAAGACCAAATTCCGTGATTCGCACCGTTTCTCCACTAATCATAACTCTGGTCTCCATTGAACCGTTGATTACTCTTTTCCAATTACGGGCTGATTGCCTCGAGGATTAAATCGAAATCAACGCCTGACACGAATTTTTGCCCACAAAGGACCAAGTTCGTCATTGCCTAGGTTCGAAACGAACAAACGGTATATAAAGTTGCTCTTACGTTGACCATCAAAAACCACTGAACGAATCATATGCGACTTAAGTAGTAATAATATAGCAGTCACGCGTATAGCAGCTTTCCGAAAATGACGGATCCTAGCTGGACAGATCATTTTTCCCATTCCCGGTTCATTGTGGTACGAATTTCCGCATGGAAAGGGTTTACGTTCGTAGTCGCCAATGTCTAAGAGGTCGACGATGTCGGCCGGCACCGATGGATAGTGCAGCTGGTTGGCGTTTTTGTTCCTTTTTCCGAGCTCCAACAAAGGCTCGAAAAGCTGGCTGCGTTGAAAGTGCGTAAGGCTGTCATGTAATGCGCGAACCGAGAACGCTGCATTGGCAAAATGCGACAGCCGACTATACCCGAGAAATTATTGCGTCTTCTAGGTAAGAAACATAACATTTCTTTTTGAGTACTGAAAGTATACGGTAGGTCATTTGGTGAACATCACTGTTATGAAATTTCAATACAAAACTCCTACCGTAATTATGCTATTGCTCCTTACTGCAATACTGCATTTATGTAATTAGTATACATGTAATTAGTATATATTGATTCTACTGAAAGGATGAAGTAATGGGGGGGGGGGGGGGGGGGGGGGGGGGAGTACGGGAGGACCTGGATTCCAGAAAATGACAGACAAGATCACTTGGTGACTTCAGTTATAAGATCACAGGCATGGGTACTAAGGGTCTCAAGTATTAGGGGCATTAATTTTGTCCATTGAGATCATCTTTTGAAAAACTGGTTGATCCTAGGTATACGGTACTGGGTGATGGGAGGAATCTTGTCCTCATTCTATCTACATATTTCAGTCAAACAGGTATCCAAATAATCCAATAAGTTGATAGGTCCGTAGGTTTCGGAAAAAGCGGAAAGACTTATATAAAAGAAAACTTGGATTTGCAAATAATGTGGCATGATAATACTACCGTTATGGCGATGGCAATACCAAAAATTACTACGGTATTGTGTTTAGCGATGATTTCATCCTACTTTTTTTCAGAAGGATGTCTCCCGTCATGGTTTCGAAAAGAACGGAATGAATCGCCGCAAGCACTAGAAGCAAGTAATTCAATAACGGTAATGGGAATTCAGAAATCACTTTTTCTATTATTCGCCTATTTTTTCCTTTTTGAGTGGATTTTCTATAGAAGCTTTGATTTGTGCCGACTTGATGTATTCCATATTCTTAGATGTTTTCTGTTTTTGAAGATTCAGTTAGATTTCCTGCTTCCAATTTTTGAAATTTTGTTTTTTTCAAAACAATGAAGTGAAAAAATTGAAATTTTGGTATACTTTCCCCCAAAAAGTCCTGAAGAATCCCATACTACTTAATAATCGGATTAACCTTTGTCGGAGAAAATTGGATAATTAGTGATAAATAGATGTATCGGATGTGTATATACTATGTAGGTATTTCCAGATCGATGATCCTCCGGAGCTTCTAGATCGCACACGACCACCTGAATATGATAATGACAAAGGCCATCGTCGACCATCCTACGAGACCAACGAAATCCATGAATCTGATGGTAAGTCGCAAGTTGTTGCTGGAATTGAAAATAATTCAATTCGAAATGAAAATTATGAAAGCACCCGCAAGTCGAATCAGAAAATTCTTAACGTGAAATTTCCAGAACTGGATTTTCTTAGTAATTTCCCCTATTGAAAGACTGGAACATCCTCCCGCTACATGATGTAGCCATTCTTTGTGACTGTAATTCATTACTTTTACATTAGCTGTAAAACCAGTTATATATATTTTGAAGGACTAGGTGACACTAGAGATTCGAGACCTGATTAGGGCTCAGGCTAAGGCTCCAGACTCGCAGAGATGGTTTTGCTCTTATTTTCGGAGCTACATGTCTCTGATCTGAAAGAAATGTCGAACTGTGTAGTGTTGCACTACAATAAGAAATTCGAGATTGTGCTTTGCAATCCTCTTTGAATTGGAAGCTGAGTACATCCCAAAAGGTGTGGATCAGCGCAGAAAAGCTTTACTTTAATTTTATTCTTACCCCAGCGGATTTGCTTTTTTTTCTGCACTTTTGGTTTGAATCTGCACTTCAAAAAAATGTATTATTAAGATGAAAGCGAAAGTGAAGAATTGGATATGATCTATGGAACGGCAGCCCCAATACGAGTGGATCATAGGCTGGAAGAAGCACGGCGACGCCATTCAAAACGTAAATGTAAAGGTATGAACTGATTAAATGAATATTTCTGATGGAAAATAGTCAAGCTTCGAACAATTTCCAAAAATTATTGATAAGTAATTGAGTTGGACCTGATATTCGAGAAAATCAATCCCGTCATTGATTTTGCAATTTTGCTTTTTGCGTCTGGAATGCTGATTTGCTTTCCAGGGTGGTGTTATCGTGGTGGAAATTGTACTGTCGATATTGATGAGATCACTTATGAGCTCAGATCGGTGAACTGCCAGTAAGTCTTTTTTCTACTCAATGTCTAGAGATCCTTTTTAACCAGGCCGCGTAGATACAGGAGTAGAGGAGCATGAAATAGTAAGGCTGCTTGACTGTAACCCCCAAGAGCGGATGGTAGCTCTCACGGTTAGCGTGGAAAGAGTTGCTTGTGTTACGAATTTGTATTAATGCTCAGCGGCTTGGGGCTCAACACCTGGAGTTCCTACCATGTCACTCTATTCTTGGTAGTAACTGTCAGGGTGTGGGTAGGTGTCCATTCGGAGCCATATCTTTCCAAAGACACCCGATCCCGATGAAACCTGTTCGCAAGGATCGAAATTCCGTTGAACAATTTTATTTTAGTCGCCCAGATGGAGTTGACCCTTCGCGGGCCATTGTGTTTTTCATTCCTGTTCCTGAGTAGTACTGTATGACTGAAATTTTAAATTTTTCAGTTGCCCACACGGTTATTGGGGCAACCGATGTGAGCTGCACTTTGTTGCTCGTCTATTCGCACCGGTCAAAGGAAATGTCGACGTGGAAAAGTCAGGTGTCTCGGCGTTCGCATTTATCATTCTCATGCTGATCGTCTCCATTGGACTGATTTTCTATACGTACAGGAAGTTAGCAGAATTTTCCCATCCCTTTCTCTATACAACCGACAATATCTCTCTATTCCACATAAGCTCTCCCTTTTGTATGCTTCCTTCGAAAATTTTGTCTTTCCTTCAACCTTTCCTACGTTTTGTTTTATCTAGAGTAAAGAAGTACCGGTCAATACCTTAAGTTTATTTCCTTCAGGTTAGCTCGCCGTAATACGGCAATCGATTCGTCTACCCTTCCATCACTTAATTATCATCTCCGACGTCAGTCAGTTTCGTTTCAAACAATGCCTACATCTGTCAACGCCTCACCTACTAACAGTACTGCCAGCACTGCCCGTAGTGCTTTAACCCAGTTGAATTGTCGTACACCGTTTTCGCCGTTTTTCAAAAGGTCAGTAAAATTTTGAAAGGCTCAGAAATAGGGAAAATTTGTGGTTCATTTGCTACAGTAGAATCACCCTCAATAGAGCCACCCTCTCCCGTACGTTCTTTCTATCATGGTCCTCGAGTGTCAGGAGGGAAGGGAAGGAGTCGATTTTCTAAAGAAAGTAGCAGGAAGAGCAATTATCAAACAAGTGGTTATGGAATGATCTTGAATTTTCGAAGGTTCGTACCTAAATTGAAGGCACTAGGTCCACGCTCCGCCCCCCATGGGCGGAGTCCAGACGTGCCCTCTCCGTCAGCATTTCCATACTGCCACTGTATCCCCACCGAATTTAAGCGCTCTAGGTCACAGGTCACAGCAGTTAAGACGTTCCGGTTGAACAGCCCTTTTCGCGTATGCCCTACCCTCCGTGTCTAAGTCTAGTCGTGCCAAATAGGAAAGCTCTAGATTGTGAGTAGCGATCAATTTGTCATTTCCTTCCGAGGACACCTTATTGCTCCTGCGAGCTCCCCTTACGGACACACACATACATCCATGATGTAAGGCGTAAGGATTCTATTCGGCACGTGCGAGTCCTAGTGGGGAATTCCAAACAGGGTTGAACGCTTCGTGCAGTTTCACATGATCACTCCAACTTTTGAAGAGGGTATATCAGATTTTGTAACAAAAAATTCGATAAGTACGTAAAAATAGTCTCGATTTCAGTTACAGCCATATATCTGGAGATTCTCGTAACTCAATAAACGATCTCACTCCTTCACTGAATATGGCGTTTGAGCGACTCTCGACAAGCTCCGTCACTTCAGAGTTTCATTCGGATTTATCGAAAACCGATTCGAAAAAAGTGAGTTGGACTGTTTAAAAAGGCAAAAATAAAAATCGAAAAGAAATTCTATAAAAATTGATAAAGCAGCTGAACTTTGGAAAAAATTAGAGTAGGGTCCGAATGAGGCTTCTCTGAGGTAAAAAGCGGAGGTGTTGGTGGAGAATATGCACTAAAGGCGAAGAAAATCTGCAGAATCCGCCAATTATAAGGCATTTTTTGGAATAGTGAATAGAGGGGGTTGTACTGTGAGGAGGATTGCATCTAAGGGTATTTTAGCGAGATTACATTCATTACATTAACGTCAAGAGCTTACTCCAGTTAGCTGTTGATTGCCTTTCATTGTCGCCATGAGTCACGTCTAGTTGTTTGAATCACCAACATGTGTGCTCCATTGTGAATGGTGCAGCCCTTACAACACATAAAAACTCGTCCACCTTCAGGTTTGGACGTCTTTTAGGACGAACTTTGAACATTTTTTACACCAATATACAACAATTAATTTAAACAAATAAATTAATAGATATGAACTGCCACTTGCTTGAGCTCAAGCCGTACTTTTTCGCCGCATTTATTTTGTTTCCATAATTTTTCCTCACCCTGTATTAATGACTCAATTATGAAAATATTCATGAAACTACATAAAAAAGAGTTCTGATTCTGGTTTCCTTATAGACCACCTGCACTACTGCCACTGCGACGACCTCTCTAACGAGTCAACTGAGTGATGATGTAAGAAAATCCTTTCTTGATGGATCTGCCTTTTCATTTTTCCGCATTCCTGTCTGCTACACTCATTTTTCGAAACGAAAGATCGGCCAGTTCTTCCGGTCCGATCCTTGAAGTTTAAAACACGGGCGTTGTGCCCTCATGGACGGAAGGGAAGGTCATTAGGTTTGAATTCCGATCGGACTACTTAGCCCTATCGCACAAGTTTGTAGGAAACTAATGTCTGATGGATCGCTAACCCGTCCCTTTATTAGCGAAGTTCAATCCCGACCAAATATACATTCTCGTTACCGGATTTTTGCGTCTTCATGGTACATACATCTGCAAAACAGGACTCTATATCACTAGACCCTGAAGAAGCCCTAATTCGGGTCCTCCTTTGTGCCACTGATTCACCGTATGGGAACCGAATTTGATGCACTTGATATGTTTTTATGGTAAATTTGGCGGGACGCAAACAAGGCCTTATGCCCTCAGTTCTTGGGGAAGTTTCAGCTCAGGTCATTCCGTGAGCGTTTGTAGGCATATTGCGTGAATTTGTGGTATTGTTGGCTTATGATGCTGAAACCTCTCAGTGGAGTGATTCAAAGGCGCCCAGCTGAGAGTTTTTAAAAATTGTAGTGTATAATGCATCGATCAATCTAATTCCAGACTGTCTACCACACAGCAGTCGGCTCGTTGTCTTTAGAGCCATCGATAGTCGATGGGCGGAACGCTGTACAAATTCCGCTGCAACTTGCCACAACGAACGAAACGGTCTTTGTAAAGTAACTTGGTGAAAGATTGTCTTAGATATTTATGTAAATGTTTCTATTAAGAAAGCCACGTGTAGCTGAGAGAGTGGTCGAAGTCTACGAGGTTTTCCCGTCAGGGAAAGAATGGGTCGAAAGATCCACGACAGATTAGGTCATATTTATGTACTCAGGAAGGAGAATGTCGTACATGACGAGGGGTATGAGGTTGCATTGGATGACTTGGTAGGTTTCCTGTTTGAACTGCTATATACTCTTCTCTACTCCTTACTCTCCCTCCATCCTCCATTTCGATTGGGAAGAAGTTTCCTAAAGTGGGATTGACATCTGGGAAGTCTTAAATTTTGAGGAGATTCCAGGGAGTTATATAAACCAACGGACTAAATTACCGCCATGGACATGGTTGAATCTGTTGTGGGCTCCCAAATGGTGCGTCAAGTTTTAAGGGAATGGGTCGGCCAATAGTAAGTGCGTATTAGTCTCACGGACCCCGCCCACTCTCCCAGTTGTTCCACTGCCTTCAAACTCGATCAGCTCATGCTGTTGATTCCGCCTAGCTGGTATTCATCTTATAAATGCCTTAAATCAATGTCACTTCAACGATGATTGTGTCTTCGACGACTGTACTATGTGCTTTATTTGTTGCCATTATGTGCCTAAACGAAGGCTGCCCACCTGTTCACTTACCCATTTGTACCTTATAATGCTCTATTATGTATGTCTGTGATTATACTTATATCGTGACCTAAGCGGGTGTCTATTAAGAAATTCTGTGAATGTTTTATTATGGGATAAAGATTGCACAAGCACGAATTCCCTGAGTCAGGGGAAGGTTACGATGCCTTAAACCTTACCTCTAGTTACGAATTTGGATATTTTTTGTTTTTTTTTTCTTTCTTCCTATCTTTTGGAATATTATTACCAGAATTAGGCTATCAAAGAAAAGTAGAAATAGAATTTCAGGATTATTATTTTTGAATTTTGGAATTCAGAATGACGAAAAAATTCAACCAGAATTTCTGCAACGCCTCCCCCTTGAGTGCATAAAATGAACGAATAAATAAATGAACTAAATTTCCTCGCTCACGAACTTCTTCGTCTTCCTATCATAAGGTATTCTGTTTCAACTGTGACCATAAACCCATACACAGTCGCCATCAGCAAAAGATCAAGAAGAACAACTGCAGGTGGTGAAATTTCAGGGGAGGAGGAGTATGAGAGCGTCGGCAATCACACAGATTCTTTTGAAATCCGTTTTGGAAGCCAGAAATGGGTACGTTTTTTCATGTTCTGCTTACTATTGCAACAGACCTTTTAACTTTTCTTGCAACTTTTCTGAGATTGCTTACATCATAAAAAATAGTACATATGTGTATGTTTTCGAATAGTCTACTTAGATTCCCTGAAACGCTTATGAAAAAATTTGCTTTGTGGGGAAAAAGTGTGAGGCTTGTAAGTGATTAATTTGAGGGGCTTTTCAGAAGTTTTCAAAAACATGCTTGATTTTTGTGAATTCGAGTGGTTTTTCGACGATGTCGATAGCTTTGTAGAAACTTTCGCAATCTTAATCTTCAAGTTCATGCCTCTTATCCAGCAAGAAGTCCAGTGGTTACTCTTGGACTCGAAGTTTGCGACGTGACGGGATCCATGGGTAGAAGGAGTCCTTCAGATCGAAGCACGCGGCATGACGAGTGGCCTATCTCATACAAATTTCATGGCATGCCATTAGGGGCTTTCTTCTTGCCAACATCCTCTCTGAACCGGATTAGCGTAACTGCGGCTTGGAATTCTTTAGCATGTAGCTCTGAGCGGTCTAAGATGCTTGTTACTATCATTATCACAACTGAATTGGCTTGGTCGCAATGGTATGCACCATTTTTACAAATCTCTGCGCTTTGGACAGTGTCATGAAGAGAGGCGCCAAGTTCAATGCGGTAATGTCTGATGTAAGTGGACATTGTAGCAGCCACAGAGTTTTGTACGCTAGACTTTCTTTGTCACAACTTTTGAGTGACTTACTTATAAGAACCCCCATCCGGAATCAACTCTTTCAGAGCGTTTTTTTTAGAAAAAAACCAACACGGTGGCCTTCATTTTCCAGTATTACGGCAACCTGCATATTTGACCAGAACACTACTTTTGTGAAAAAAAGAAAGCTATACTCAAGAGTTTATGTTCAAGTGTTTAGCTGCCACCACATAATCTAGTACAGTACCTGGGAACTTCAGCTAGTTCACTGCTTCA